GGATGGTGCCCACCTTCAAGGAATGCTGGGCCCTCAAGGGGGCGCTCTGCCGAGTCGAGGCGGGGCACCTGCTCCTCGCCCTGTAACACCCCCGGCTGCTCAAGCTGCGGCGATGCGTCCAGCGGGCCGAGGCCTTGGACTTTGCTTCACGTGGGGTGAGCCCTGAGGCCCCCCATGGGTGTCCCCGCTGGCAGAAATGTAAATATGTAAATAGACCTTTGGCTCGCTATGGTTTTTTTAATCTAGAGTGTACGGGCAGGCCTTGCAGGCCGGGAGCCCAGGACCATGTCCGTGAGGCCCAGGTGTTCAGGCCAACCTGTACATACTCTCTACTTGCCCCGATTTGTCACCCTCCCTGGAATAAACGCTTCTTAAAAGTCTTTCTTTCTTTCTTTTTTTTGGGGGGGGGGCAATTATGTGCAAAACCGTGGGAAATGCCATTTTTTGTTGTGATTGCAGAAACTGCCATTTTTCAAAGTTTCCACAAAAATCACGATATAAGTAGGCCCCTAGAAATATGGGCTTGGCAGGGTGAATGTAACATCCTAAAGCTGCTCATCACTCTGGGGTTGAGAATCCTTAATCACTATAAAATACATTTAAGGCAAATGGAGACCTAGTTGAATAGACTAAACACTCTTAATAGACTAAACCCTCTTTCAGTAAATTTTCTAGGTTCTGTTGCCACTGTATATGTGTGCATGAGAAAGATAAGTGAAATTTCAATTGCAAAATGCGAGGTATGATGTGAAGAATGGGGCTACATTTGAAGATTCATTTGTTGTGAAGCTGGCCTCCTGGTTCTGTCCCCAGGACATCTTGGAATAATCGTATTACCCAGTGACCTGAGAAAAAAGCTCATTTTCTGTTTGAGTCAGTTAGCCTGGTAACCTAACTGGAGAAGACAGAAAATAGGTGTTAGATAAACATTATTGAATTGTACAATCAAGATTTCATTCTACTCCTTTTCTACTCAGATACTGCATTTTCTGTTGCACTGCTTAGTATTAGTTCCCCTGTGTTAACCTTACTATATATTTTATCTATTTTGTTCTTTCTGCTGCATAGTTCTTCTATAAACTCGCTTTCTCTATGTCTGTTTCCCTGCTCCATTTTCTTATACCCATCCTACCATTTTGCCACAGAGTAAGTGCCCACTTTGTTAAAATGTAGCCTATCCAATTTGTAAAGGTCCCATCTGTTCTACTACAGTCCCAGTATCTCACAGGCTGGTGACCTTCCTGCAGTAGTTTTATAGGCTATGCATCTGTTATTGTTTACCGGGTCCTGAACATAATGTTGCTATGATAAAGCTGAACCCTGGTTGGGAATGAGTTTCTGCAATGTAATCTGAAGCTGTGCAAGTGAAACATTTGAAACATTTTTCCTCTATCATACCGATTCAAAATATTGCAGTAAAAATGGTCAGTAGCTGGGTTGTGTACTTTTGAAATTTATAGAAAATATATGCACAGATATTTGTTATCTTTAATTTAAACCTGATTTTTCCTACTCATGCTGGTATGTTTTAGCCTGGCTGGCACACATCCTGATGGGAATAAGAGCAGTATATATACTCTGGACTTGTTCACAGAAGGCATTTCTCTTGAAAGCTATTCTAATGGCTTCTATGGAAACTTATGTATGAGTAAACCTACCTTATTTTTGTTCTATGACGTATTCATTTTTACTGTGTTGCTTTTTGAGGCAAATAGACCTGAAAAGCATATGAACAAATTGTTGAGATTTGCCTTTGTTTTGTTTTGTTTTGTTTTAACCCTAGCTTTTTCTGGGCAAGTTGGAAATAAAGCCGCTAGATATTTTTACTTACTAAGTGAGTGTATGTATGTATATTTTCTTATATGTCTTTCCCATGTACCTTGATTATTTTTACAGAGTGGGAATATGGTTAACAGAAAACCTTGAAGTTAAGATTTTGGAATTATTTTTTTCTACTTGTGACACTGACACCTTGCGTGACCTTATTATTGTCACCGTCTCCTCGAATCACCACTTATTCAATCCTAAAATGCATACATTAAGTTACCTGGTGGGCTGCCAATGGTCATACAAGGCTTAACTAAAGTTTTGTAAAGTTCTTTAAGACTTTTCAGGCCTTTTAAAGTGAAAAGTAGTAACTTGAATAATTTTTAGCATTAATACTTATGATGTTGAACTTATTGGATGTGTGAGTATTAGAAAGGTTAGAGTAAGTGAAAGGTATTTTTGCTTGGTTCTGAGCTTTTGTATTTTTGTATTTGCTAGAATGCATAGGCTGAAGAAATTGTTTTTCAGGAATCTAACTGAAACTTTTTTCCTTGGCCAAGGACATTTTAACATTTCATATTAGCATGTTTTAGACAATGGATGACTTGAAGTCTGAGGTCATAAATTTTTTTAAGTAGCCATGCTGTATTGCATTTCTTTTTGATATGCGCTTAAATTTTCATTTACTATTATGTTGCTGGCTGAGGGCCGCTAGCTTTCCATCATGAGAAATGGTTGCTGAATGAGATTTGCTTCTTTCCCATCTCTGAAGAGATGTGCATTCTTAAAGCAGGTGCTTGGATCAGGAAGGGCGAGTAGATGGTTCTGTGGGAATACACTTAGCAAAGCAATGTCATAAATAGGTCCTGTGTCAGTGTTTGGTGTAATGTCTTGATATGTGTCATCATGAATTATATATTATTTTCAGATTTATCACTTCCACTGATGAGGGACACTGCTTCTTTGAGTGAGTTTTCTTCATGACTTAAAAGATTTACTGATGCATTGGAATTCCCTATATTGGAGGTTCAGATGAACTTTAGAAACTCAAGATAAGAACTATAAATCTGTTATAAACCGGGAAGCCATTTCTCAAGGTATATGTTTATTGACAGAGCCGTATAATTCTGTTCTGCTCCTCATTCATGTGCATCAGAAAAGATTCTTCTTTCAACAACACGAATGAAATGTGCAAATCTTAATGCAGATGGAACACCCCGTAGGTTATTTATCAACAAAGAAGTCGTATCCATTAGAATGCATTGCACAACGCAGTTCTGTCTCATAGTTAAGGACAGAAAATGGCCTCAATGCATTTTAATATCCTCCTGCAGATGTCCTAAAAAAACTGCTGCTACCACATCCTTTGCCTTGTGGACATGCTATGTCTATAGGTGTGTACACAAGTGCTCTGTGCATGTTTTATTGTGCTGCAGTATAGAGCACTTTTTATAGCTCTACGAAGCTGCAGTGCTCTTAAACAAGACAGCAGTTCAGTGTTTGGGGTGGAGAGGGAGGCCTTTGAGTCTCCCTGCTCTTTCCAGGTTAGAAGGCAGGGGTGCTCTGTAACTTCCTGGGGCATCTCCACTGGTCAGAAATTTGACCAGCATACAAAAGTTATTTAAAGCACTGTAAGTTGCTAAAGTGCTGTAAAATACAGCGCTTCAAATTTAATAACTCATTTAACAAGGGTTAATTTAAAGCACCATTTTTGAAGTGCTATAAAGCCGTGCACTTCTGTTAAGTCACAGCAATAAAGCACTTTAAATGTCAAAAAAGCAATGTTTGTATAGACCTATAACTTTCTAAAATTTAAGTCCTAATATGGACTCCAAGGTCCTTGTTTAGGTACCTGTAAAGCGATGTAATTTTAAACAGCTCATTTCAACCAGATCTCATTGAAGCGAGTTTAATTTTAATAGAGCTCCTCATCTGAAATCAGCTTTAGAAACAGTTTCTGTGTGGTTTCTGGTCCATTTGGAAATGAGTCCACTCAGTTGGCTAAACATAGACTAAAAGAAACACAAATGGAGCCTCCAGCTTTTAAAAAACTCTTGCTCTGTGCCCCTGATCTTTGTCCATAGTCCAGATCTTACTGTATCAACCAAAGATATTCTGTGGCAGAGTTAGTTTGCACGATGCACTACTGGGATAGCGAAGGGAAAATTGTACACTGAGAGAGATTAATCTTAAAGTTACTTCCTGAACACCATGTATTCAACATGAAAATGCAAGGAAGGCATAGAACAGCTGTAGCCAATAAACAAGTCCTTTCTTCAACTGCTCATGTTGAATTTGTTTTCCTCAATATAACAATACTGATGGCAATGGGTTTTTGAAATCTTAAATGACTCAAAAATCCTTGATCGCTGACTGTGCTGCTGAGATTAGTGACAGCAAAGGTTATCAACTTTCTGGAGATTATTTTCTTTTCCATCTCTCCGTTGGTTTCCTTTTCTTGTTGTTAGCAGTTGCATATCTCTTCTTCATTTCCCGTCTCCTTTTATTTTGTAATATTCGATGCGTAGAGTTATATTGAAAACTGCTCCTATGGCAGAGAGCATCTCACATACAGAATCCATTTTCCATTCAGGTCCAGCTTTATCCCATGTTATGGTTCAGGTAGGACAAAATGAATTTCCCTAGAGACCTATTAAAAGCCTGGATAGGCTCAGTTCTAAACAAGGTCTTATTAGGAGCTGGTTTATACAATGTCTTAATGATATAATTATTGGCTAGCGGGTTGTATGTATGAATGCTTTCTCTTCCCTCCTCCCCCTATAAATGCCCCAGTATCAATGTCAATAAACCAGTATGGTACTGGTGCACCTTATTTTGGTGCCTGAACTAAAATAGACTAGAGCTAGTATCAGCACTTTGTGCCAACTATAAAAAATGCTAGGGAATATTATTACTTTAAATTTTTGACTTATATTTTATGGCTAAAGTGGCTAATATTTTTTTTAATTTAGGCAAACACTATGACAGAAGTATCACCCTAATTTTATGGCAAGTTTGGCCCCCCAAAATAGTGGCTCATTGTCCAAATGATGTAGGCAGAAAGGCAGTCCATGCAGAAAGCTGGTGTCATGTTGCAGTGGGCACATGGAACAATCAGGAATCTATCATCACTGTTGCAAAATTATACTGAAAAGCATCTTTGATCCAGTTGGTTGGTAAAGAGCAGAAGGGACAGCAGCAGTTATTCACATGTATAAGTGGCAAGTGTTGAGTGCCTCGCTTCATAGGTGATGGCTTGATTTACATATCCTTTCCCAGCCACTTTTCGTTTACTCCTGGTGATGTCCTATGGCTGGCTTTGGATTTATTTCTTCACCCAGAATTTTTTGAAATCTTGCAGCATGTCAGTAAGACTCCAAAAGTATTGGAAAACTCAAAGCTAGACTAGCATTCATATTTACTTCTGTAGCTTTTAATTCTTAAGTGGTCTGACTTTTCAGTATCATACCACTAATCAGATTCTCTGTTGGTTTTAAACTGTTTGCTATGATGCTTTCCAACCAAAGAGACTTCATAACTAAATCTTTGATATTCATTTTTGGGCAAATGATCTGTGTTTATGACAGCCTCCCTCAAAATTTAGGAGAGCAGTGGCTTGCATCTAATTGCATTAGGAAAATAAGCCATAACTTCCTACATACAGGTGCCAAACTTATAAAGATGGAAAAGGGGATTGAATCCAGAAAATCTGGCACCAAAAGTACAATCTACTACTGCAGGCACAAAGAGTAGCTTATCTACTAATGGACAGCAGGCTCCCCAGTCTCACGGGGGAAATATAAGCCCACTTTAGAGCACAGACAGACATAACAATTGCATCAATATCAAATGTTACTGATATAAATCATTACAATATAGCTGTTGCATCTGCATGCTTTTGTAATGATACAAGCATAGCAAAACTTCTGCTGTTTCATTCAGGGTTATGTTACAGTGATTTAGCTAACTTGGACCATGCAGACATAACAGGTTGGAACAGCTGATGCATGATCCCATATGGTAGCTGTCCCACTCCTTATAAAGTAGTTGAAAGCTTTGTTTGTCTGTGTCCTTACTAAGCCAGTGTATTTGCATAATTAAGGAGTTTTCTCATTGGGTCATATTTGTTTATGAAGATGTCATAACAAATAAACATGAGCAAATACAGCGGAGTAAAAAAGCTTGATAATCCAATGACAGGGTCATTGCGAAGTATAAGGTTAAGAGTAACCACACCATGGCTGCTACAGCATGCATTGTCTGTCTACAGGGATAAGAGTATTTGCCTTATGAGGACTTCATTTGAACTGCTGCAGATAGATGGCTGGTAAAGTGCAAAGATAGACTGAATAACTAGTATACAAAGTGTATGTTGGAGTGGAACTAGGATATATAGTAGTCAGCCAAGTTTCTCTTCTCTGTGGTTTTAAATGAAGAAGAGTCTCCAAGGGGTTCTATGAGGCAGCAGCATTTTTGGTTCAGGTATGGGATGTTGCAGAAGAAAGGCATACTGTTCTTTCTCTTGCCCATGATTTTGCAAGAAGCCTTCTGTAGATGCAGCAGCCTGTCCATCTGGAGCTCCTTGCATTATCAGATTCTGTATTTTTCATTCGTCTTCCATAATGGGAAATAAATCCTCTAGGCTGAAAATAGTCTGTATTGCTTATTGCATATGGGGTACAAACGTGACCAATATGATCATATTTTATATTCTCTGGAATGAATTGATTCACTTGCATTTCACTTTCAGAACTGTATGTTAGCTCTGCTCAGCTGGACAAGAGGAGAATGGCATCCAAGTGGGAATTTTCTTACTCAGGTCTGGCAGCTGCTTTCAGTACTGTTGATGCACAAACTGCTTCTGTATGTTCCAACACAATTTAGGTGAGTTGGAATTAAAGAAATTATCACTGAACATTTAAGGAGAATCAACCACTTCTGGCTGTGTCCCATTAACTAATACATTAATGTTCTTCGTTTGCTAATGTGATACATTACAGCAATGTTTCATTTTGTTCTTGACAAATGCAGTGAGGGTTCAAAATATTTATGAAAAGGTGTGAAAATCCATGTCTGTCATGGGCTAACTCTAGTAGTATGCAAGGCACTTTGTGCACACAGCCTACTGGTGAGTGTTACATGCTCCCCTCTGCCTGATGCAGAAGATAGGAGTTGTTTAGCCCCCAGCTAGAGAGCCTTGCTTCTTTGAGCTGCTGAAGTTTGAGGTATGCTTTTGGTCTGGATGTCCCTGGTTGTCCCTGGATGTCCCAGTCCTTGGTTTGTTGCCAAGAGAGTGGCTGTCACAAAATGGTGGCAGATGTTTATCTATAAATGCTTAAGAAATTGTATGCAACTCTCTCTCATGGCAGTTTAACTCTGTGAAATCCTTAAAAAAAAAAAAAAAAAGAAGACTGGAAAGAAATTAGCTGTCTTTGGGCTTCAGCATGGAGAAGTAGTGGGCACTGAAGAAAAAGTACTTATCTGGCATTATATCAGCACACCCTAATACTTCAGAAAATGGTGCACTGGTAGATACTGTGCGTGCTGCAGCTACGTAGATGCCTGCTCTGAGAGAGGGAATTCAGTGCTAAGGAATCCACCAGAAGGGGCAACTATAGTTTGTAGTCAGGACCTGCATAGGTTGTTGATGTTCCAGTGAAATGCTGGATCATCATATTTCCCTAAGGCGTCCTGAACAGATATTTCCTCTGGCCATTTCAGCTAGGGACAGAAGTTAAACATAAACTGGTTTAAGTGATTGAGAAACTGGTTAAACTTATAACAGAACAGAAGCTCAGTGCACACAAACCAGTTTCAAAATGGCTGAAACTGGTTTCAGATAAACCTGGTTGAATGTAGTATCAGATTTAACTGAATTGGGTCAAACCAGTTTATGAAACTTCTGTCCCAGAATCCTTCCTGGTTCAAGTTAAATCACAGTCCCCCAGCATCTTGGCATGCTTTCTAGCCCTGGGCTGGGCTGGGCTGAGCTGGGCTGTCTGCTCCAGAGAGCAGGGCTGATACCATCCCTCTGCTCCCTAGCTGGAGTAGTGAGGGCTGGCTGATGTGATGGGCTAGCTGGTAGTGATTTAGCCCGGGGGTTTTAAAAGAGTAAAAGATGATTGGAGGACTTGGGAACTCCCCCTCCATGTCCCCTGATTGGCCCCTTGGGTCACCTGGAGGGGGATAAAAGGGGCAGCACAACTGACTCAAGGGAGACCAGCGAGGGACCACAAGGAAGGAGTTTCAAAGAGCTGACAAGAGCTGGGCCAGCAGGGCGGGAGCAGTTGCCCCAGAAGAACCTGAAGGAGTGGGACCTGCAGGCAGCAGTGGGACCCTCAGCAGCACAGCGTGCGGCCGGCAGGAGAGGCTCCCCGCTGGACTCCAGGATCCCCCTACGAGAGGCTGCAGCCGGCAGGAGAGGCTCCTCAGCTCCAGCAAGAATCTGAGCAGCAACCTTAGAGGTTCCTAGCTCTGCTTCCAGCTCCTCCAGTAAGAGGCCAGGAAGCTCGACGTAAGGCAGGGGCTCCTGGAAGGTCAAGACCCCTAGCAGCTTGGGACAGTACTAGCACTGGTGCCTGTGTGGTAGAGTTTCTGCCTACTATGTGGGAGAACTGAGTTCAAGTCCCATTTGGGGTGAGTGAAGTGACGGGGAGAAATTCTTGTTGCAGTGGAAAAGGGTCATTGTGTTTTTTCCCCTTTCCCCCCCTCCAGGTACCTAGGCCCTATATTCCTTGTTGTTTGATGTTTTGTATTTTGTGCCTTTTATATTTTGCCAACCAGTATTGTTTGTTCTGCTGTTTGTGTTTTATATTTTGTTAACCCTATCTTTTGTCAACTGGATGAATGTCTATGATTGTAAGTCTAAGCTTTGTTGAATCCTGCCCCCTTCGGGCATTGTAGTGTCCCCTATGCCCCTTGGTTTATACTGGTTTGTTTCCAGTACTGTTCTCTCATTAAAAGGTATATGGTTAAGTCCCCATTAGTAATCTGGCTCTGCTCTATAGGGAGAGGAGAGTCCCTACACCTCCCACAGCGCTTGTGCGCCTGCTCTGATCCCTTCAATTGGAGAGGGGATACCTCTTAGAGTACCGCCCGGGTTACACTGACAAGGGAGTGGGGGGCAAGCCCAACTGAGGATGCAGGCTAGTCTGCAAGTGGGGGTCGGGGGGGAATGACTACTCCACCTCCCGGCAAACCCTGGCTGGGGTCCGGGATGGGGGGGTTAAACGCCCCTTCCCCTTCTCAAATTTACTACTGGCTGCAACTGTGGATTACAAATCCCAGAGGTACCTGGAAGCAGGAAGAGGAAGTGATGAGCAACTATGCAGAGTCCTGCTGCTGTGATTCTGGATTGCAAATCCAAGAGACCTGGGGGGCAGCAGGAAGAGGAAGTGAACACACAGCCCGAGAGCTGTGCTCTAGTGCCTCCCAGCTTCCGGTCTGAGCCACTGCAGGCATGTGACTGCATTTCCTGAATCAAAGGTAAATATCTGTTCACTTGCATTTCAATTTAATCTGTGCAGTTTAGACTAACCTGCAAAGACTGAATCTATTTAGCCTCGGGCTTTTTGACTGTCTGTACCTAGCCCTAAACTATTCTCTAGACCAGTGATTCTCAGTCAGGGTTGTGACAGCTGAAATTATATCTGTGTGATACAGGTGCTTGCTGAAGGCCCTATGAAGAGTAGACCAAGTGTTTTTCTATATTTGTTTAGATATTAAGCTATATGTTGTTGCTAAAAGCCTAATTAAAGATTAAGATGTAGTGAGGCCTTGTATAAAGTAAGGCCTAGTAAATTTAGCAAAGCCTTGAAGTAGTAAGGCCCTGTGGTGTAGTTAAAATTACCTTATCAAAGAAATGCAAGGCTTGTACTGGTATTGGTCAGTCTAAGGACAGTTGAAGTAAAGGGAATCTGAATGGTTGTACGTTATCAGTATCATTCAGAAGCTTTAAATTGGCTGGAATATCTGGAAACCATTCGGAAGGAAGATACAGCTCTGTGAAAAGGATTAGTTAGCTGTTGCCTGGATCAGTGGGCCCATGGACCTCGAGGAGCCCAAGGACTGCATTCCAGGGTCCTTCCCGGTACCCCTTTGGACAGTGCTGTTCAGGGATGCCTGACTTCACTGAACTTCATGGAAAGAGAAGCTTGCTGTGTATCAGGCATCAGAGGGGACTGCCGATAAGTTGCTGACATGAATTGCTTTTGTTTGTCTTGTTACTACGCGTAGTTGTGTTTTTGTTAAGTCAATAAATCTTTCTTACCTTTCTACCCCCGACCATACTCTCAATCCCGAATCCTCCGCAGGCAGCTGGGACAAGGGTGCAGTGAGATCCCTTGAAGGGGGGTCACAGGAAGTGTGAGGAGGTAAGCAGATAAGGGCGGGCTTAGGCTCTCCCATCCTGGCTGCTCTCCCACCCCCACTACCTGGGTCCTCTGCAAGGAGGTAAACATTGTACTAAAAAAAATGTAGTTTCTGAAATGGGGTGTTGCTCAATTCACAAAAGTTATGGAGGGATACCACAAGTCTAGAAAGACTGAGAACCACTACTCTAGACTGCACCTATGACTTTTGTGTTCGTTATGGGCAGGTAGTGCCAGAGCTTATGCTGTGGTCTCCACATACCTGAGGCTTGTTCTTGTGGGCTCTCAGCCTGGGATTCTGCTGTCAGAAATAAGTTGAGGATGGTGTTTTGAAGAATGAAGGGCCTTTTCCGTCTCTGTCTGCACCTTGTGGAATCACTTCCCACAGCAGTTCAAAGTAGCTGCCGAGATGCTGGCAGTGTTTGCCGTGTTTGACAACGAAGCAGCTAACAATTGAAGCTTATATATTTGTTAGGGTTAACACATAGCTGGGAAAACTGTATGTGCCTGAGTCTTGTGATTTTTAAACTGTCTGTAGATTCATGAAGTAAACCTTGCCTTTCTATCTAGATCTGGTCCATAAGTAGAACACTACACTGGCCCAAAGTAGGTAAATGATAATGAAATATTCATTGCATCTATTGCTCGTGCATGTTGCTAATTGGCAGTTTAATTTTGTAAAACTTTATTGACTAGGTTTTGATGTTGGGGAGGAAAAAAGAGAGAGAAAAAGAGGTAACTTAATCTCTGGCTTCCTTTTATAGGAAGTTTTCTGCGGTTAGAACCTTCAGGGTGTCATCATTGCATCACTGGCAGGTGCAATGAAAAAATGTATGCTTATTCAATAATATAATAAAGTAGTTGCATTAATCCATCTCTTTCTTTCCTTCTTTCAAGACTGTAGAAGTTAGCAAGTGAAAACCTCTAAGAAACCTTACACATTTTTGGAAACGGGAATACTATCCTTTTCTGTATGCTCATTTACCAGCTTTCTGAGAATAACTGGCAACTGATCACATACTTAAGAACTATATTGATTTAACATAGCTGAGCTATTAATGTAGAAAGGAAGAAAATTCAAAGTTCTGCCTCCCAGGAAACTGTGTGAACTATACCTCTGTAAATCTCTAGTATGAACTGTGGATGGTTACTGTCACATCAAGTGTCTTGCCTTCATTCCTTGCTGCTTTGTGTACCTGGAATGTTCTTCTCTCTCATGCAAAGTTTCTTTGTATCCCCACCTAAAAAAATTTCCCACAGTGGTTTGACTTCTGCCCTGATCTTAAAATCTAATGCTTTTAAAAACATTTTGAAACCAAAGAGAAGCACTCACAGCCAAAGAGAATGGTATAATTCAGACTGTCTCCATTTTCTAATTAATACATTGGTGCATAGCAGCATTTGAGACTTCCTCTTGCAAGATGTAATCCTCACAGTGTAAGGTCCCGATCTTGACAAACACTCGGTGTGCAAGCCAAGGACTTGGACCCTTGCTGTATGTAAAGCCCTATGTTA